TATCTTCTAGCACACATGCTAAAACTAGTTTAGAATGTAATATAAATATCTCAAACAAACTAGGCAAAAAAAAAGAATTAGTGCACATTATATAACCTTCATAAAGAAACAATATTACACTCTATCTTCTAGTACATATGCTAAAACCAGTTTAGGATATAATATTAATATCTCAAACGAACTAGGCAAAAAAAAAAGTCAGCGCATATATAACCTTCATGAAGAAACAATATTACACTCTATCTTCTAGCATACGTGCTAAAACCAGTTTAGGATATAATATTAATATCTCAAACAAACTAGGCAAAAAAAAGAGTCAGTGCATATTATATAAGAAACAATATATGCGTGCTAAAAACTAGTTTAAGAATATATATCAATATCTCGATTGGACCAAACAAAACAACCATACGTTATATAACTTAACCATATTCTCATATTCAAATTATTAATTTTATTATTCATTGAGAAAAAAGGCTAAAAATCTATAAAATTCATTTAGATTCAATAGTGTTTATTGGAGCAAATTACAAATGAGCAAACCTTATTTATCTCTAGATAAAATAGTTAGTTATAGACATAACAGAAAGAATAAGAGATATATTGTAGCACTGACTAAAACAAAAAGGCCCAGTCTTTCATATGTGATAGTAGTGAAGAACGAATGGAGTACCTATGGCAAAGAAAATTCTGGTTATATGATGTAAATCAATATTAATCCTTATAAAATTTTCAAAAAAAATATTTGTTTAATTTTGCTATAAGGTAAATGCAGGTATTTGACAAATGTGGATATAAATAAACCGGACCTCATTTACTAAACAAAGTTATTCGAAATTCCACTTTTTATATACTCTCAAATTTTGGCGCAATATGAATAACCTTTTATTAATAGATAAATTAATTTTTTGCGCCAAAACATATAACGAAAAAACCTATTAATAAAAGGTTATTCGTATTGTGCTAAAATTTGAGAATATATAAAAGATGAAATTTTGAATAACTTTGTTTAGTAAATGAGGTCTGGTTTACTTAGTAAGAAGTCCTGTTTTCTTGTATAAAACGATTCTTAACAAAAATTTACATATGTACATACCTGCATTCAGAAAGTCTTATCTATTTTATTTTTTTCGCTAATATTTATGAATTCAAAGGTTTCAAGGTTTTACTTAAATTTAGAATAGAATAGCCTTGAATTTAAAGGCAGAAAGGAAACTAATAGTAATACACTTTCTCTAAAAAAAAAAAAAAAATATAGGAAAGTCTTTAGCGATTATTATTTCAAGAAGTTTTTCCATTAAGAGCTAACAAAATCTGAATATTAGACTAATATATAAGTTATATGATAGTTTTTGATATATTTAGTTATAAAAAATATATCTAAAGTCTGTACTAATGAAGCCAATTTAACACTTCTACTTGATGTCAGCCATGTGATCCTCTAAGAATAGCTCATGAATGAATAAGTAAAAACAAGAAATTGGTAATTGTATTAAAGCATTTCAGCTTAAAGCAATAAATATGAAGCAATTGATGGATTTCTTTTGAATGGTTGTTTAATATTTAATAACTTGGTTAGATAGCGTATAAAAAATTATAGGTAAAGATTGAAATTACATACAACTAAATTCGAAATTGCTTGAAGTAATACTCTAAATTTACCCGATTCTTAACATTTTTTCAACATTTTGTTAGTTAATATACTATGTGAATATATAGACATAAATTTTGATTTGTATTCATAAGTATATATTTTTATAAAGTTTAAAATTATATACTATAACTAAATTTCAACAAGCTATAACAAAGGCACATTCAAGCAAAAAAATAATTATGTGAAATTAGTATATTACTTATATAAAAAAAACTTATTAACTTCGAACAATAATTATTAGTCAAAATTTGATTTTTTTCAATCATCCATGATCTCGATTACCTTTGGTTTCATAATTTTAGTTACCTCTGGCTCTAGGATCTTGACTATCTCTGGTTTTGAGATTTTGATTATCTCTGGCTCTGTGATATCAGGTGCTTCTGGCTCCTGGTCTTAATCAGAAATCATTATCTGGTTTTTTTTTCTACAAGAAATTTATCATTCTTGTTCGTGAATCCAATTTCGGCTATTTTTCATACTTTAACTACCTTTTCTTTCTCTATAGATTGTTTATATTGAATATTGAGTGGTTGCTTATATTGAGTATCAAGTTGTTGTCTATATGAAATATTGGGTTGTAGTCTATATTGAATATTAGGTTGTAGTCTAAAGTGAAAATTAGGTGGTCTAAGAGGTTTTTTTTCTTTGAAAGGTGATATCTAGATAGCATTTTAATTAAATGTAGCAAATTTACTAAAAAAAAAATGCTTAAATGGATGTTGTTTAAGAGATATAATTAATGATATAATAAAAAAAAACCAGAAAATTTAGATGTTCATATTCTTTATATAGAGATACTAGCCTTAATAAAATCAATTGTGTTATTATATATATATACTATCAATTCATAACAAACACATGATTTTTCAAGATGAATACTTTTAAAGACCATTATAGTTGATAAATTTTATCAATAATAAAATTATTTTATTCACTGTCTTTAGAGAACTTTCAAGCAAAAAAATTGGTTCTTCCTCTAAGAAGATATCCATTGTCTAATCATTGTTAGTAGTGCATTCATGAATTACTTATCCCTTAAATTGTAATACAGACAAATTTGCCTGCGTTTATTTTTTTAAACTTTATTTTTTTAATAAAATCTTAAA